AAGGCCTATTTTTTCCAGGAATAGATGTTCCCTCATTAATTAATGCCCCACATCTTTAATGATAAGATTGTCAAGGACAATTAAGGAAATGATTATAAGTGTCCTTGGTAACTGGAATGCCCCACAGATTTTAGCTTACTTTCCCTAAGTGTGGCTTAAAGGTCATTTCTTTGAAGTGTGAAGAATTAAGCATGCCTTCCATTGGTGGCATTATGTACAAATGCTGCACACACAAAAAAAGATGACATCTTTTGGCTTGGATTTTTCAGCACAAATAAGAAGATATTTAAAAATAATTGAAGCATTGAGTCATTGCATAAACAATTCAGTAATAGCTAGTTGTGAACTTTTTTTTGGAATTGCTAGGGTTTATTATTACCCCTGTCTAATCTGTTTGCTAAATTCATATACTGAATACTACAATGTTTCCTTCAGATACATTTTGAGCTCTGTGTGTGTTATGTGTATCAGTGATATGCCTCTCTCACTTTCTTCTTCACCTGTTGATAACGTTCACTTGAGGGTAGAGCTTTACCCAAGTACTGGATCAAATCCTTGTTATTTCAGAAGTCCCCTTTCCAATCCATCATTGAACTATAAATAGTCTGTAATTTTTATGCTACCTTCACGTTATTAAGCTAGTCTAGCACAGTTCCATGAACGCAAGCAGAAGCTGTGAGTCCAGGTCAGTATTCAAGCACTCTGTTACTCATGTCTCGGAAAGCAGCAATGCGCCATGTCTGCCATGGGTTTCCCTGCTGCTATTCAGTACTGGAAATCAAAGCCAGGCCTTAGCACATGGTCAGTAAGCTCTCTGCACTTGGACCCCAGCAACACTGATCTTTCTAATAATCTTTGTTGAGTTTGTTGGCAGTATTGTACTCGTGTGAGGAGCACGCTGATTATTGTGGCCCCTACACTCTTCAATCTCCTACCATTGTGATCCCCTTCCTCCCTTCAAGTCCCTTTCTCACATTCGTCTTATCTATGTGGGCATGCACGTGAAACTATGCATTGGACCTTTGGTGGGTACAATACTTTCAACAATGACTGCCCCTCCCTCGGGCTCCATCGGAAGTCAGGATGGTGAGGGTTTGGGGGATTTAGGCAACCTGAGCTCAACTCTAACCCATGAGTAACTGTTGGCTGGCCTAGTCTCCTGTCGGCCCACTGCAGGCAGTGAGGACTGCTACAAAGTCATAATTGTCTTTGCTGTCCCATGCCAAAAGCATTGCCCAGCTCTTCTTCCTATCCTCTGGCTCGTCCAGTCTATCCAACCCATCTTCCACAGTGATCCCAGAGCCTTAGAGGGAGTGGTATAAATACTCAGTTTAAGGCTGAGCACTGAACTGTCACGTACCCTAGAAGCCTCTGTTGTACAAAATATTGGCACAGAGTTGGGCTATTCAACATTCCCTGTGGGAGGACCCTCCATTGAAATCTTTTAACCGGTTGAGAATTATTATAAGTAGGCACTGTGAAAGCAAATCTTTCTCTGCCTTTTTCTTGTAAGGGTATTGA